ATTGAATAAAATATTCAATACTAGGACTGAATCAAAAAATCAATCTTTGTTGGCTCTTTCGCCTATTTTTTTTCGTTATAAGGAGAATAACTCTTTTTTTCAGCGAACGGGCCAAAACTGCGTATGGATTGAAGCAGTGAATCTATATAGATATAGATTCATTCACAATATGATTCAAATGCAATCTAGTACCTATGTGTACATAAGAAATCTATTAAATAAATTTGTTTTCATAAATATATCCAATCACAATTTCAAATATCGAATTAGGAGAATTCAAGGGGATCAAAAAGAAACGGGTCTTCTCAATCATCTAACTCATATGACATATAAAATAAAACAGGGTCATCCATATAGATCCAAATGGTCAAATGGGGCAAAGAGTTTACAAGAAAATTCAAAACATTTTCTTTATGAGCAGAAAAGACTTTTTGAAATGTATGTTCAAGTCCGAAAGGGCCATTTGCAAATGATGTTTGAGAAAGTTTATAAATTATGTATTTATGTTATTGATAAAATAACTGAGAAATGGATTTATTGGTCTAAGGTTCGCAGGGAAGTAGAAATCAAAGTAAAAAAAAAATGTGTATAAGTTAGTTCCTTTAGTTTTTACCAAGTTGTCCAAATCAGTACGTTTCTTCTTTTTTCCCCAGTCACTTCGTTTTTTTTTTACGAAGGGATTTCACTGTATGATCAAGTTGCTTTTCTTTTTGTCTAATTCACTTGGTTTTTTCCTGTGTAAGTTTTGGTACTCAGTCCTGTTCAGAGGTCCGAAATCTATATCTATCAATTACAAGGACCGAACGGTCAACTTTGTAATCAGTTGTTGGAATCAATAGGGTTTAAAATGATTTATTTAAAAAAATTAAACCCCTTTTTGTTGGAAGAGTCTGGTACGTCGAACTTTGTTATCAATGAAACAAAAAGATCACCCTTTTTGTTTCATAATATAGCAAAAGAGAGGATTGATGCATTGCTTACTAGACCAAAATATTTTGATGAAAAGGCTAATGGGTTTCATCCCATGAACCTATTTGAAAGAAGTTCACTTATATCCGCTTTTTATAAAGCAAATAGACTTCGCTTCTTTAATATTCGCCCTAACTCTAACTTTTGGTTAGATTGTAAGAGAAGATTTCCATTTTCTGTGGAAAGGACTCGGAATACTAATTCGTATTTTCTCTATGAGCAATTTCTAAATAGCTTGTTCCTTGGGAATCAAAAAGTTTCTTTAGGTGGTGGGAAAAAAAGACAGGTTTTTGGGGATAGAGCTACTATTTCACTAATTGATTCCTTATTTAAGGATTTTGCCAAAAATGGTGACCCACGGTATAACTTTGAGAATTTTTTTAATTCTGTAAGGGAATCCGATCCAGTCATGCCTAATTTGATTCTAAATACTTTTGGAACATCTTCTACAGAGGAAGAAATAGTCAATTTGGAAACAACTTATTGTCAACCGTTTTCAGATCTAAATAGAAATCTATATGATTCAGAAGAAAATCACTTTCAAGAATATCCTAATTTTAATTTAAATATGGATATGGATTTGGTTGACATTCCCTGTTCTTATAAATATTTTTCATTTCAAAACAAAAAAAATCGAAAAAAAGGCGCTGTGTTTCAGAAAAGACGGATGGCAACAACTTTTCATAGAGAGAATTTTTTTTCCATTTTATCAGAAAAATTAAATCTTTTCCAAATGAATTTGCCAAACTTCTTTACTTTGACAGGGTACAAATATCTCTATTCTCTATTGATAGATATAGTTTCAATATTAAATAGTAGGATATCTATTTATTGGGAGATTTTGTATTTATTATGGCAAATTTTTAAGATGAAATTGTTGCCCTTTTTTATAACAAGTGAAATCTCAAGTAAGTGGTTACATAACCGTCTTCTAGCTAATGAAAGGTTGCAACGAAATACTAAAACATCAACACATTTTAGATCACCAAGTGGTTGGGCTTTTTTCGTTTCAACGCTTTTCCTTCTTATTGGTGTTGGTTATCTTGTTATTATAAATCTTGTCTTTGTTTCTCGATCTTTGAGGGAGTTAGATATCAAGTTTAAAAGATTAAAACCTTTTCTAATTCCCTCATATCTAATTGAGTTTCAAAAACTTGTAGATAAATATCCTATGTGTGAATCAAATGGGTTTTGGTTAAATAATATATTTATATTTGGCTTTAACCAATTCGTACGTTTGTTAGAAGGAATCCAAGGTTTTGTTTTCGGTCTCAACAAGATTCATCTTACTTTGAAAGTGAAACCAAGACGTTTGACGAAGAAATCTTTCAATATCCTTGAACAGATAACTGGAATTGCTGTTTCTATAAATAGAAATATGCAATATATCAGTTCTATCAGTCCTACAAGTAAAGAGCTCTATTCATTGATAAGAAAAAGAGAAAACGTGAAGGCGAATTGGATTGATGATCAAATAGAATCCTGGATCGTAAACAGCGATTCAATTCATGAGGAAGAAAGACAATTTTTGGTTCAGCTAGCCACTTTAACAACAGAAAAAAGAATTCCATCGAGTCTGACTGACAGGGATCATTTCTTAAAGAATGACTTAGGTTATCCAATGATTGACCAACCGGGAGCAATTTATTTACGATACTTAATTGACATTCATCAAAAGGATCTAATGAACTATGAGTTTAATAGATCTTTTTTAGCAGAAAGACGCATATTACTTGCTCATTCTCAGACAATGACTTACCCACAAACTTCGTATGCTCATTTAGCATGTCGTGGAAAGCCTTTTTCTCTCCGCTTAGACTTATCCCCCTCTAGAGGTATTTTAGTTCTCGGTTCTATAGGAACTGGACGATCCTATTTGGTCAAATACCTAGCAACAAACTCCTATATGCCTTTCATTACGGTATTTGTGAATAAGTTGCGAGATAAGAGTCGTAAATTTATGACTGATTTCTATATTGATAATAGTATCAATATTAATGCTAAGTGACGATATCAATCTGACTAAGAGCGACAATATTGATGACGATAAGAATTTTGACCTTGCTACCGAGCTGGAAATCCTAACTAGGATGAATGCGCTAACTAATGGATAAGGAGATGAAGGCTGAAATAGACCGATTATCTATTACCCTTCAATTTGAATTAGCAAGAGCTATGTCTCCTTGCATAATCTGGATTCCAAATATTCATAATCTGGATGTGAATGAGTCAAATTCCTTATCTCTTGGTCTATTAGTTAACCATCTCTCAAAGAATTGTGTAAGAAGTTCTACTAGAAATATTCTTGTTATTGCTTCTACTCATATTCCTCAAAAAAGTGGATCCCGCTCTAATAGCTCCGAAAAGGTTGAATACGTGTATTAAATTACGAAGGCTTGTTAATCCACAAAAAAGAAAGTACTTTTTTACTCTTTCATCTACTAGGGGATTTTATTTGGAAAAGAAACTGTTCCATAGTAACGGATTCGGGTCTATAACCATGGGGCCGAATATAGGAGATATTCTAGCACTTACCAATGAGGTTCTATCAATTAGTATTACACAGAAAAAATCCATTATAGACAATAATACAATTAGAGCCGCTCTTCATAGACAAACTTGGGATTTGCAATCACAGTTAAATTTGGTTCAGGATCATGGGATCCTTTTATATCAGATAGGAAGGGCTGTAGCACAAAATTTACTGATAAGT